CGCGTGATATTTGTGTTGCAAAAAGACCTAGCCAAGGTTGTACATCACTAACTGTTTCAATCCGCACAGCTGAAACGCAGTTCTATTGGAAAACATGGTACATGAGCAAACCTTAGAAAACCATCCAAACCTGCAATTTTCCAAGCAGCACGGCATTGCTCTCTTCAATTTGTTGCGCTCTTTGTCAAGAGGTATGTGCAGTAAGTGCTATGATGAAAAAAAGTAAGCGCTTCACACATTTCTCTAGTACCAACATGAACATACATGACCACTTCTTTCCACCAAACGCCCCAAAAGAACCTCTCTAGTGTCTCAGATTACTCAGTCAACATACCATTTTCTTGCATCGGACTCCCGATAAATGTGGCCAGTACTTCGGAACTTCACCAACATAATCTGCTACAACACAATTATCACTCTTTTCCAGCCCTTTTTCCTATACATTTGAGCTGATCACTGCGTAGTACCACACTTTTGCCACGATTGTCCCACGTGTTTCCAACTTTCTTGCAACCTTCTGGCTGTTTCCTTCTTTGGCAACTGTGCTTCACCTGAACTCCGTTGTGTTGGGTGATTCTCCACTCCCACATTTTTGGTGTTGCCTGGCTGTCATTACTCTTAATGTCCAACTGAAATGCCACACACAATGCCCACTCAAACCCTATAGCCCGTATTGAAGGGAAAACTGAGTGATGGTACATGAACTGCCGATTTTGCGCTTGATGAAGTCATGTTTCAAACATACTGGAAGTGATTATAGCCTGAACCGCTTTAGTCACCAGGGTCCAAGTGAAATACGTACCAACCAACACAGCCCAAGCTGCCTTGGCTCTTTAATAAGCCATTGGCCAACCAAAAGAAGGCTCTCGGGTGGGTCGGGCTCGGACGCTTCGAACTCGGTGCGGGTCTTGTTTGCCCAACTCGGCCATGTGGCCCGCGGGATGACGAAGAGCTCTCCGGAGCAGTTGATCTGTAGCACCTCGCAATTCCTGGGCCACCTCGGAAGAGACCGCCCGGCGAAAACCTTGGTTCCAAGGTGTATCCCGAACGTCTATCATCGACCGAAGGAAGAGACCGCCCGGGGGACATGTCCAAAACCACCCCAAGAGACGCTGAGAGTCGGTGATTTGATGTGATTTGGTTTCACGCGTCGAACGAGATCCGGCCACGAGTCGGGCAGACGGGCGAAGATCGGGAGAAGGTCCAATGCTTGGTTCGCTTTTGGATCAGGATGGTGGGGTCCATTGAGTCCGGGACTTGGGATCATTGTATTTGAAGCTTTGCATTACTCTCAGACTTGATCTGTGGATTCTATACGATGAAGCAACTACATGTCAGCAAATGCACATGAAGACCATCCACTCCAAAAGCGGCTGAAATTGGCATGATCTCCACAGCAATTGGCATGATCTCTTATAGGGGTGGTTCTCTACCTCGACCTGGTCGACCCTGCAATCATATGTTCACCCATGGTTCACCCCAAGCGATCTCAGCTGGGACACATCTTCTGCATCTCTTCGCTGAGCTTGTTCAAGCGCTGCCACTCCTGAGGCTGTCTGACGAGTCTGGGGGTCGATGGGTCGGTGCGGGCCGGACGAAGTGTTGTCAGGCGCCGGCCACAAACCACGGATGACAACACTTCATCAGGTTGGTTCCGGGGAGGAGTCGTCCATTTCATGGAGTCAGGGTGGAGGTAAGGGTCGATTGAGCCATGGGAGTTTCCACGAAACGGCCACCCGCGCAACTGAACATCTCGACCGGTCGCAATTCATGCCCGAACATTGGTTGAGAAAGTTGAGAAACACCAAAAAAGAGTGGCACAAAGTCGTGCCGTCACCAGCTGCGCCTACACCGACCTCACACCGGCGCGTACGGTTCGGTCGTTCCGAAACGCGGACCGCGTCCGTTGAACGCGACGTCCGTTAGTTCTGCAAGCTCCCAACAGGGGTTGGAGGGCCCAAGCCAGTCGACTATCCATGACTATCCCATTCGACTAGGTACCCCCCAGGTGAGTCGGGCCAAGCTCTCGTTGGTTGGTCAACGTGGCCATCTCTTGCGGCCAGAGGTTCCGTGTCGATCTTAAGCTTTTCCCGGTAGCACCACCTGAAGGACGTGAGGCAGAGGCCAGGTGGAAAGCAAACATGTCCCATGTAAGGCAATTCGCTTGGAGTGGATGGCATACGACGAGTCATCCCAGGTGAGGAGTCGCACTGGGTGCTAGCAAGGGTTCAAATGAATAGCTTAGAGGATCGATGCTTCAGTTCGTTGCTAGCTCCGGTGGTTCAGAAACTCCCAGTAGCTCCGATGTCTTGATGTTCTCGGCTCAAAGGGGAAAATGGAAGATGGATTACCCAAGAGACTCCGAGACGTCGATCCTTCCTAACCACGTCTATAGTCACTATATATGCTAGATGGTCTATTGTTCGTTGACTGTTTGATGATCTGCAATCTGAGTGACTCTTCAGTCTCCTGTCTCAACTTCTCCAACTGCTCGGTGGTCAGATCTCGCTCCTGGCGCTGATGTGTCCACTAAAATGCACATACTTTTGCAGCCGGAGCTCCAGGTGCAGCTTTGCCAATGAAAACATGCCAACACCAAATTGCAACGTATTTGGATGTATTTAGTGTATTCTAGGATAATACCCTTCAAGTATTCAGGTATTTAGATGAATTTAGGCTGATACCCGCCTTGTACTCTCTTTTTTGTATTGATCCGTTTCTTCAGGACAGTCAGGACGTCCCTCACTGCGCCAGTAGTTCTGAGTGGCCGTGTTCTGAACGGGTCTATGCCGTTCTGAACGGGTCTCGGATCCGCGGATCCGCAATGAATCGGGTGGTGTTTGTCGGAGACACATAGTTGATGTAGGCTTGGTTTCTGTCGGAGTCGTACCTTCTAGAAGGCACGACTGGATCCGGATGAAACGATGACCTCGTGGTCCACTCGTGGTAACATACTACACAATTGACATAAGTTAATAAACTTACTATCTAGCTATGACCCTCGAACAACAACCTAATGCAAATCCTCAAACACCATGAAGAGCTGGTGATTCTCTCTGCCGGCATAACGCCGGCATACTTCCCCTGTTTCCTATGAGGTTCTTCAAACAAATTATTTAGTAATGCTACAGCGTAACTCTTATCAACTGAGCGACACCCCTCCCTTACGATCCTCTCCAATCCCCCCTCCTCCGCCAGCCGCTGCCAGGCGTTCCGGATCTGATCCCGCTCCGCTTCCATGGAGGCGAGCAGCCGCCGGAAGGAGCTCTCGATCAACGCTTCCGGCTCCGCCATGGGCGACGACACGCTTCCGGATCCGGCCGCGGGGGGCGGAGGGAGGGATCCACCGGAGGCGGAATCGTTTGATCCCGCCGTTCTTTGGAGCCGCTGGTGATTGGGTCAGGCTGATGGAGGTCGGATCCGAGATCGGAGGTGGAAGGGGAGGACATCATGAAAGTGTGGCCACTGGTGTTTCACACCTGGACAACAAATTACAAAAAACTGTTCTGGTAGAGCTCAGACAAAGGTCTTCTTTAAAATAGATTAATATATATTAAAATAGTGGCAATTCTTTACCGACTGTTACAGATCATAAGACAGACCCAATGAACATGCATTAAACATCCAAGCACCATCCGAGCGGATGGTCCAGGGCGCGAGACTGAACTTGCACCGCGGTTTTCCTTGAAAAGCTCCTCGTGAGTCGCGACCTCAATAAAATGGGCCATATGGGCTTCTCTGAAGATGAAAAGAAGCTCATCCATATGTTGATGTCTTTTTACATCCAAAGTTTATCCTGGTTTGGGACAACACATGATACAGTAGCGTTCCAAGATGGGGACTCTTCGAGGACAAGTGCTGAATCCCGGATCACACCAAATCGCGGATTTGATTTCCAGCGGATCTGTTGAGTTGCGCCCCTTCCTTTTGCCACCGGAGTCGCCACCGGATGCACCCCAAAACACACACACACACACATCTTCCAAAACCCACCTATTCAGAAAAAGGAAGTGACACACACACACACACTCTGACATTGGTTTTCAGTTACACTCAGTTCCCACGTTGAGAAGGAAGGCGATGGAACGGCATGGTGAAAGGTCCAAAGACTTGAAGGTGTTTTAACATTGAAGTTTCTCATCTGCAGTGGTGCGACGACGAGCGGCGAGGGAAAGGGTTTAGGGGAAGTAGCATGAACCACCATGGAAACAAACAAAGAAAGAGTGGAGTGACAGCTTGTACAACAGTTCGGCAGGTACGTTTGCAGCCCCCCCAGTGGCCTCTTCGTTGGCCATCCGCCACTGGGGAGGGGGATGGCCCCCTGCCTTGTTAAGTGGTGGTAATGGAAACGGTGGCATTGGACCCTTTGGTACAGGGGGTGACACACACACACATAGCCGTATTCGGCGCGGTCTCCCCTAGCAAAGTAGTAGTGAGGCCAGGGGCCTCCAGTAGCATCCTGACTCCCCGGGGAACATTTGTACAGAAAGCGCCAATTGTTGGCACAGCAAAAAACTATTAGTCACCTAAAAAGCCTAAGAAAGACAGACAAAGCAAACAAAACAAAAGCAGACTAAGAGGGCAAGAAAGAAACATAGGTGTAGTTACGAGGCCCACTTAGTTAAACGAAAGTAGTTTGCGAGCGGGACATTCGTCTTAAACCGCCC